ATGTCATTAACAATCAAAACTATCCGACCATTTCATTTCGGCTTTTTGTAGAGTTTCCATTGCAGATATGTGCCCTGAGGGAAGAGCAATCTTTCGATTGAAGAACACCTTACTGCCTCGCCGATGTTTGATAAATGTACCGAACGAATGCGAGAGTGGCTTCTCATGTCAATCGAAAATCAAAGGAACTTCACAGGGATTTTGCTGCTCAGAAAAAAGCAAGTTTCCGCTTTTCTACTACCTTTTTCGGCAAATCGGCTTCAGTTTCTCAGACTGTGGATTTAGGTGTGTGCAAGGACAATGCCAAATATCTCGTGGATGACGGTACGAAAATGCCGAGAATTTGCATCCCGGGGCTTCTTAGTGCCTGTCCTGCTGGTTATAGTTGTCAGCTACGGATGCCATTCTCAACCAGCGGATACTGCTGTCAACTAAGCAGCAATGTGGTCACAGGTAAGCAATGTGGGTCCCGCAGATCTTGTATATTTTATGGGTTACAGAAGGTTGTCCTCCTGGCGAATATGCACTGACAAATGGCAAGAAACTTGTTGAATGTGACCCCTTCAATGGAATCACCTGTCCTTCCTCGTTTTCGTGCCAGTATGCAGTCGCTTTCCAAAGATATCAGTGCTGTGGTAATCAACCACCTGAAGAACAGCAGAAAATTGAAAAGGGTACTTTCTTCATGTAAAAATACTGTGCAATTCCAAGGTGTGTTGCAGAGCATGGCTGTCCCTCTTCGCAAGTTGCATTTCTCGAAAAAGGTAGACCAATGGTGTGCACTTCCTCGGGAAGCAACTGTCCTTTCGGATATTTTTGCCAGTTCTCTGACAAAAATAAGCAATTCCAGTGTTGTGGACATAAAGCAGGTAAGAATCACACATTCTTTCAATCACAATGTGTCAGTACTACGTCGCTGCCACTTCCTCAAAATTCATTTTCAAGGTTGCCCGAGAGATTCTGTAGCCTTTTTGGATCTGAATGGAAATCCCATGACATGTTCATTGAAAGCAACTTTGTGCCCATCAGGATACATATGTCAGTTAACGGAAATGGGAAACCACACTTGCTGCACTGGCAATGCAACGACAGAAATAGAGTCAACCTCGGAGAAGGTAATCTTGAAACATCTTTTCTGCAAATCAAAGTCATGTAAAAAAAATGCCATACGAGATAGGTTTATTCATTATGTCACTGGGTGATTAAACTTTTCAGAAAGAAACGGAAAACAATCTTCAAGAATTTTTGTTGGAAAGAGATGATCAAAAATTGTCTTCATAGATGCTACAGCTGATTTTGTATTGTACGCCAAAATTTAGATCTATGGTGAACTTATGAACGTTACCAAGCATCTTATAAGGAGAAAAGTAGCTATCGTATTTTCCTGTCGCGAACGAAAATACCATAACTGATGACTTAACGTCAAATCTCTTCCGTAAACTTTTATTTCTAGCCAAAGCCGAGCGAAGAAGTGAGTGCACTTGTATCTTCACCTCCAAAAACCCCATTGATAGCTGGAGTTCCCAATGAAACAGCAAACACGGTTCTAGTGTCTTCATGCCCGCCAGA